ATGCCTGGCTAATTAAAAAAACTTTTTCTTTTTGTAGGCTGGGTGTGGTGGCTAACACCTGTATCCCAGCACTTTGGGAGGCTGACGCAGGTGGATTACTTGAGGTCAGGAATTCAAGACCAGCCTAGCCAACACGGTGAAACCCTGTCTCTACTAAAAATACAAAAATTAGCTGGGTGTGGTAGTGCATGCCTGTAATCCCAGCTACTCAGGGGGCTGAGACAGGAGAATCACTTGAACCCAGGAGGCAGAGGTTGCAGTGAGCTGAGATTGCACCACTGCACTCCAGCCTGGGCGACAGTGTGAGACTCCGTCTCAAAAAAAAAAATTTTGCCAGGTGTGGTGACTTGCGCCTGTAATCCCAGCACTTTGGGAGGCTGAGGTGGGTGGATTCCCTGAGGTCAGGAGTTTGAGACCAGCTTGACCAACATGTCTCATCTAAAAATGCATAATTAGCCGGGCATGGTGACGCATGCCTGTAATCCCAGCTACCCGGGAGGCTGAGGCAGGAGAATCACTTGAACCTGGGAGGCAGAGGTTGTAGTGAGCAGAGATCATGTCATTACACACACACACACACACATTTTTTTTTTGTTGTAGAGACGGAGTCTTTGTATGTTGCCCACTTCAAGGTTGGTCTTGAACTCCTGGCCTCAAGCAATCCTCTTGCTTCAGCCTCCTAAAGTGCTGGGCTTACGGGTGTGAGCCATGCGCCTGGCTCCAAACACCCCTTTTTTGAGGCAGCACTCATTCTGCTGAGCCTGCAGGAGGCTGGCTGCCCTTACCTGGAAGCCATGTGCTAGACAGAATTCTTGCGTGCGGGTGATGGAAGCCCATTGTAAAACTGTAAGCCCCCTAAAGGGGCTGTCTTGACTTTCTTCCTGAAAGTCCCAGGTGAGCTTCAGTCCGGTAAAGCTGGATCCAGGGCTCCTACACTGCCCTTCTTTTCTGAGCTTTACTTTCCTCTGTGTTAACATCATTCTTAAGGACATGAGAGCTCCAGATGGTTATCTTTCCATTTGGCAACATTGGCACCTTGGACCCTGGGGCCGTGTTTCCAGGGTAGTGTCTGACTAGATGAACGTGTGTCACGTACCTCTGCAGAATCTGTCACCGAGGCTGGGGTGGTTAACAGTCTTCTTGTTGGCCAAGCCTGGGAACCTATTTAAACCAAGTGGATTGAGAGAAGTAGGGGTACTGGTTTCCCACAAGAAAATTACCAAAAAGGAAGCAAGGCTAGGCTTGCAAAAATAGGATGAACCCTAGTGGCAGCCCCCTTCCCCCAAATTGCAGGTTTGGCTTCTTGGAGCAGGCACTTAACTGGGTATTTTAGGTCTCAGGCTGGAGTTATTGCACCCCACACTCTCCCCCAGCCCAGGGCTTAAGTGTGTCTCTGCCTGTGCCTATCCTGAAGCCCTCTGTCTCCCAGGTGACACCGGGTCTAGGAGTGGTGGCCGTTCTGCTGCTGTTCCTGGTAGTGCGGGAGCCGCCAAGGGGAGCTGTGGAGCGCCACTCAGATTCGCCACCCCTGAACCCCACCTCGTGGTGGGCAGATCTGAGGGCTCTGGCAAGAAAGTGAGTTTATTCCCACCCTAGACCACCATCTGAGGCCCCCCTGGCATCAGGTTTGAAGTTTAAATGGGGATGTTCCTGTTCCTGCCCACACCCCAAGGCCAGGAATTCGGTCGTTACTGCCCCCTTGTGGCAGCTGCTTGAATTACAGGCCCAGATCCTGGGAGCCAGAACCGCCCCTGCACATGGTGGTGTGACCTTACTAAAATAAGCCAGGAAGGGAGAAGAGAGGTCCCCTCCGCCCTCGACACCTCCATGGGGTCTTACTCTCTCCCTCCCAACTATCTGCAGTCCTAGTTTCGTCCTGTCTTCCCTGGGCTTCACTGCTGTGGCCTTTGTCACGGGCTCCCTGGCTCTGTGGGCTCCGGCATTCCTGCTGCGTTCCCGCGTGGTCCTTGGGGAGACCCCACCCTGCCTTCCCGGAGACTCCTGCTCTTCCTCTGACAGGTGCCCAGATGGGGCTATGCCGGGGGGCCTGCGGGTGGCAGGGCTGGAGTGAAGAGCATCTGTGGCTCAGACCCAGGCAGGGAGTTTGACTCCTGACTTCACAAGCTGCCTGCTCTCCTGGAATCTCCTATTTCCTGGTCTGGGAAATAAGTGATGGGATGATGTCTGCCACTTAGGGCTATGCGAACCATGTGTCTGTAGGGACCTTGGTTGTGAGGGTGGCTAGGATGGACAGCGTAGGGGGCTTGGCAGGCAGAGAGACAAACCCCCATTCCCTTCCCTCACCCTCAGCCTCATCTTTGGGCTCATCACCTGCCTGACCGGAGTCCTGGGCGTGGGCCTGGGCGTGGAGATCAGCCGCCGGCTCCGCCACTCCAATCCTCGGGCTGATCCCCTGGTCTGTGCCGCTGGCCTCCTGGGCTCTGCACCCTTCCTCTTCCTGTCCCTTGCCTGCGCCCGTGGTAGCATCGTGGCCACTTATGTGAGTAGCCAGCAGGTGTCAAGGGGGATGGCGTGGGTCCAGGGTGGAGGAGCACTCAGTGTAATGGCCACTCGAGGTGGAATGCCTGGTTTTGAATCACAGCTTTGGCGCTTCCCAGCTGTGTGACATTGGACAAGTAACTTAACCTCTCTGTGCTCAGTTTCGTCATGTGTAAAATGGGAATATCAGTAGCGCCTGTCTCACTGGGGTGTTGTGAGGATTAAATTAGTTAATAGATGAGCTGGGAACATGGTCAACTTTCCATGTGTTTGCCCTTACTGCCATGAACCCCCCACCCTCTCTCCACAGATTTTCATCTTCATTGGAGAGACCCTCCTGTCCATGAACTGGGCCATCGTGGCCGACATTCTTCTGGTGAGTCGCTGGGCAGCTCCAGTGTCAGCCCAGAGGCCGATGAGAGCAGGGTTGGGGTCAGGAGTGTTGCCTTTACCCCTCAAAGCCCAGCCTCAACCTACCTTCTACAAAAAATAACATCTGTGGCAGACCCCTGGCCTGCCCTGTGACCTCAACCCCAGGCACACCTCTGGCCCCGGCCTCGGTGGACCCTTGGTGGTCTCCTGCCCCCTGGAGCCCAGAGCACCCACTGAGCTCCACCAACTCCTCCATAGTACGTGGTGATCCCTACCCGACGCTCCACCGCCGAGGCCTTCCAGATCGTGCTGTCCCACCTGCTGGGCGACGCTGGGAGCCCCTACCTCATTGGTCTGGTGAGCATTGTTTCTTGGCTGGCACAGGGTAGGGGAACTTACATTTCCAGACCTGGCTGGTGGCCTGAGCCTGGGCTGGACCAGACAGCCTGGCCCTAGTGAAGTGTCTGTGTCCTGTGCGCTGGGCACTTCTCACCTTCCATTGTCAACTGGAGGAGAAAGATTTTGTCTTTGAATATTTCTACCAGTAAGGCCAGGGACCTCACCCTGGTGGTCCAAACTCCTCCTTTCTTTTTTCTTTTTTTCCTGAGACAAGACCTCACTCTGTTGCCCAGGCTGCAGTGTAGTGGCACGATCACGGCTCACTGCAGCCTTGACCTCCTGGGCTCGAGCGATCCTCCTACCTCAGCCTCCCAAGTAGCTGGGATGATAGGCATGAGCCACTGCGTCTGGCTCAAACCTCCTTCCCTTTCCTGGGCTCCACTTGTCTTTCTCCCTGGAGCTCAGGGGCGCGCCCTCCCTGGCTCATCTGTGAGGCTGACCTCCCAGGCTTTCCTGTCTCCTCTCCCTGCAGATCTCTGACCGCCTGCGCCGGAACTGGCCACCCTCCTTCTTGTCCGAGTTCCGGGCCCTGCAGTTCTCGCTCATGCTCTGCGCGTTTGTTGGGGCACTGGGTGGCGCAGCCTTCCTGGGCACCGCCATCTTCATTGAGGGCGACCGCCGGCGGGCGCAGCTGCATGTGCAGGGTCAGTTAGGAGCTGTGCCCAGGCCAGCTTCTTGATCTGCCTGTCCATCTGTCTGCCCACTCCTGTGCACCTGGCAGCTAAGTCCATAGCTCTCGCCTTGTTTGGCCTCCAGTCTGCATCCACCCCTCGGGTGGCTCTGTGACTGCCCCATCCATTTCCCGCTGCCTGTTTGCCCTTCTCTGGCTTTGTCTGTCTGTCCATCCAGCTCACCCTGGCTCTGACCCTCCCCCCGCAGGCCTGCTGCATGAAGCAGGGCCCACAGACGACCAGATTGTGGTGCCCCAGCGGGGCCGCTCCACCCGCGTGCCCGTGGCCAGTGTGCTCATCTGAGAGGCTGCCGCTCACCTGCCTGCACATCTGCTGCAGCTGGCCCTGGGCCCACCCCACGAAGGGCCTGGGCCTAACTTCTTGGCCTGGCCCAGCTTCCAGAGGGACCCTGGGCCATGTCCCAGCTCCCAGACACTACATGGGCAGCTCAGGGGAGAAGGTGGGGGTCCAGGAGGGGGATACCCCTCCACAGGGGCAGCCCCAGGGGCTCGGTGCTATTTGTAATGGAATAAAATTTGTAGCCAGACCCCAGGTGCCTGCTCTCGTCTTTCTCTGGGTGGCCTCTGATCTTGCACCCCGTCTTCACCCCAGGGCTCCCGAAGATTGTGGGTCATTCCTTGGGGCTCTGGGTGAGTCTCTGCCCTTCTAGGCTGAGTGACTGAGATGGGGGACTGCTCTCCTCCCAGTGAGCTGGCTCAGTGTGACTGTGAGTCACGCCCCTGCTTTTCTGGAGCCTGTCCCTTGCCCCGCAGGCCTGGCTGAGGTGGGGGTGGGCACTGCCCTTTGTACCCCAGAATTCCCGCTGTCAGGGCCTCCCTGCTTGCTGCCCCTGGATGTGAAGGCCACGACTGCCAGCTGGCAGGTGGCTGTCCCCATCCGAGGGGGCCAGCAGACCCTTGGTGAGTGCCTGGGGTGGCTCCGGGCCTCCTCCTGCCCCCTCCCCACTGGTGGGGTGGGGTGGGAAGGGGGCGGGTGCAGCCGGCTGAGAGCTCGATGATTTCCTGCCCTCGCCCGGCGCTCACCACAGCTTCCTGCCGCAGGCGGGTGGGAGGGCGGGCACAGGGAGAGGCGGGCGCCGAGAAGGGGCAGGTAGGGCTGGGACGCAGGGGTGGCTGGATCCCCCGACTTCAGCGCAGGCCCTGGTCTGACCACCCTGGGAGCAGGGACTTTCCACAGCCAGCTGGACGCCCACTCAACCCAGTAAAAGAGGGGACCCATCCTGGGAGCCCCGGGGAGGGCACAGCCGCCTCCTCCTGGGCTCCCCCATCACCTAGTGCCTACCTTCCCCCTGCCCCCTGCCCCCTGCCCCCTGCTGGGCCTGGTCCTCACCCGGTCCTCACCCCATCTTTGTCTGGCCTTGGCTCTGCCCTTGAGGGGCCTGGGGGTGCAGCCGGCCTGCTCCGAGCTCCCCTGCAGATGGAGGAGGCCATCCTTGTCCCCTGCGTGCTGGGGCTCCTGCTGCTGCCCATCCTGGCCGTGTTGATGGCACTGTGTGTGCACTGCCACAGATTGCCAGGTGAGTGGGAAACTGGTGGGGGTACCTGGGGCCCAGGCACACCGATGGGATCCTCATCCACTCCCAGCCCCTGTGTCTGTCCTGGCTCTGTCCCTGCCTCCATCCTGATCCCAGCACGTCTGAGAGTCCCTGGACCCCAGCACCTTCTGCCCTAAGCACCCCCTGTTCCTGCCTCACCAGCCCTGTCTTTCCCAGGCTCCTATGACAGCGCATCCTCAGATAGGTGAGTCCACCCTGGCCGCCCTGGGTCTCCCTCCACACCCCATGGCGGGGCAGGGCTGGGGCTTCTCCCAGCCCCATCCCCAAGCTGTGTCTCCTTTACCAGTTTGTATCCAAGGGGCATCCAGATCAAACGGCCTCGTGAGTACAAGGAGGATCCCCTACCTCAGGTTCCAGGGAGAGGGTCCTCTGGTGTGGGAGTGAGCGTGAACCTTCAGCCTTCCCCCACCACCCTGGGGCTGCCCACATGGCCTTGACCTGAGCTGGGAGGAGGGGAGATGGCTCCCCCAGGCCTGTCCAGGGTGCGGGGGTTTCAGGAGCTTAGTCTGTTCTTTGAGGCCTTGACGATGTCTGGAGTCCTTCTTTCAACTTGGTTCTGTGTCCTCAGACACAGTCGCCCCCTGGCCACCTGCCTACCCGCCTGTCACCTCCTACCCACCCCTGAACCAGCCAGACCTGCTCCCCATCCCGTGAGTAGCTGCTCAGCCCTTATCCCTCCAAACTCTACCCTCCACCCCCTCACTTTTTTGGATTGGGGGCCCCTTTCCCTTTTGCAACTGCTGTTGCCCCCTGAGTCCCACCTCAGGCATGACCCCTCACCTTTGACTCCCAGAAGATCCCCGCAGCCCCTTGGGGCCTCCCACCGGACACCATCTTCCAGGCGGGATTCCGATGGTGGTAAGTGTGGGGAAGCACTCAGGAGGCCGGGGCTGGGCAGAAGACAGGCCTGGCCTAAGCTGACTCAGTCTCCCTCTCGCCCTCTCTTTGAAGCCAACAGTGTGGCGAGCTACGAGAATGAGGGTGCGTCTGGGATCCGAGGTGCCTGGGTTGGGTGGGGAGGCTGGGGCCCATCCTGGGCTAGGCTGACCCTGTGTTGTTACCCCCAGAACCAGCCTGTGAGGATGCGGATGAGGATGAGGATGAGGACGACTATCACAATCCGGGCTACCTGTGAGTGGCCAGGTGGGAGGTGGGAGGTTAGGGCTAAGGCTGTGCATCCCCCCTCGCTCACCGGCCCTTTTCACTTCTTTTCAGGGTGGTGCTTCCCGACAGCACTCCGGCCGCTAGCACTGCCGCCCCATCAGCTCCTGCACTCAGCACCCCTGGCCTCCGAGACAGTGCCTTCTCCAGTGAGTCAGGCATTTGTTTTTATTATTTAATTTTTTTAGGGATAGGCTGGAGTGCAGCGGTGCCATCGTAGCTCGCTGCAGCCTTGAACTCCTAGGCTCCAGTGATCCTCCCAAGTCGGCTACTCAGCCTCAGCCTCCCAAGTAACTGAGATCACAGGTGCCTGCCACCACATCTAGCTTATTTAAAACATTTTTTTGTAGAGACGGGATCTCACTATGTTGCCCAGGCTGGCCTTAAACTCCTGGGCTCAAGTGATCCTCCCACCTTGGCCTCCCAAAGTGCTGGGATTACAGGTGTGAGCCACCATGCCCGGCCCTGTTCTGATTTTCTTAACTTTCTCTCCTTTCCTATCTCTGTATCCTTTCCTTTTATCATCTGGGAAATTTCCTTAACTTTATTCTTCAACCCTTCCACTGCAATTTTATTTCTGCTATCCAGAAGCTCTTTCTTGTTCTCTGACTGTTCTTTTTTTATAGCCTCTGTTCTTGTTTCATGGAGGCAATACCATCTTGTACATCTCTAAGGATATTAATTAGAGGCTGTCTTGTGTGTCTGTGTGTGTTTGTCAGTTTTCTTCTGCTTCCTGCACTGCCGTGTTTCCTTTGAGCTGCTTTTCACCCTTCCTTATGGTCTCATCCTGCCTGGTCACATCCTCTGGGCTTTCCCCAATATCTGACATTCTTAGATTTCTGTTGCTTTGTTCTCTCTGTGTATACTTGTCCTGGGCTATCACTTCTACACCCTGGCTTTGTTTGCCATCCAAATTCCCAGTTTTCTCTCTCCTGAGCTCCCGACTGTCTATCCAAGTACTTCTTTTCATTCATTCATTCATTCATTCATTCATTCATTCATTCATTCATTCATTTAGCGTTTACTGTGTGCCTCTGCTGGGCTAATGCTATGGATATAACAGTTAAGGAGGCAGACTGTCCTGATAAAATAGCTGGCTGGGCACGGTGGCTCACTCCTGTAATCCCAGCACTTTGGGAGGCCGAGGCGGGAGGATTGCTTGAGTCCAGGAGTTCAAGACCAGCCTGAGCAACATGGTTAAACCTCATCTTTACAAAACATAAAAAAAAAATTAACCAAGCATGGTGGCACATGCCTGTAGTCCCAGCTGCTCAGGAGACTGAGATGGGCAGATCACCTGAGCCCGGGAGGCGGAAGTTGCAGTGAGCCGATATCATGCCACTGTACTCCAGCCTGGGTAACAGAGTGAGACCTTGTGTTTAAAAAAAAAAAAAAGATAAAATAGCTAAGATTCACCGAGGGCCTCCTGCATGCCTTGCTAAGAGTCTGACATGTGTTCACTCACTAACCTCACCGCCCTGGAGCTCCCGGGCCTGCCCTCGCCCTCCTGTGCTCCAGTTGTCCCCCTTTGTGTGATGCAGGGTTTATCTGTTTAATAGCACTGTTGTGTCACAGGCCCTATTTTACAGAGGAGAAAACTAGGCGACAGAGAGGTAAGGTCCCTTGGCTGAGGTTATGTGGTTGGGTTAGTACTGGAGCTGGGATTGAACTGGGGCGGTCTTCAAAAACAAACATGAGAAACATAAGAGAACCAAATAGGCTGGGCATGGTGGCTCACGCCTGTAATCCCAGCACTTTGGGAGGTGGGTGGATCACCTGAGGTCAGGAGTTCAAGACCGACCTGGCCAACATGGTGAAACCCCGTCTCTACTAAAAATACCAAAATTAGCAGGGCGTGGTGGCGGGCGCCTGTAATCCCAGCTACTCAGGAGGCTGAGGCAGGAGAATTGCTTGAACCGGGAGGCAGAGGTTGCAGTGAGCCAAGATCACACCACTGCCCTCCAGCCCTCTGGGCAACAGAGGGAGACTCCATCTCAAAAACAAATAAATAAATAAAATAAAAGAACCAAATAACCAGGCATGGTAGCTGATACCTGTGATCCCAGGACTTTGGGAGGCTGAGGAGGGTGGGTCACTTGAACCCAGGAGTTCAAGACCAGCCTGGGCAGCATAAGGAGACCCTGTCTCTACAAAAAATCCAAAATTTAGCCTGGCCTGGTAGGAGCTGAGGTGGGATGATCATCAGAGTCCGGGAGGTCAAGGCTGCGGTGAGCCGAGATTGCGCCACTGCGTTCCAGCCTGGGCAACAGAGTGAGACCCTGTCTCAAGAAAAACAAAAACAAACAAAAAACCCCCAAATAACATGGATGGTGACAGGCGCTATGAGGGGCTGACATGGGAGCAGGACACAGGCAGTGGCTGGCAGGGGGCGGGCGGGGATGGGGGTCAGGGAGGAGGAGGTTCCTGCTGGGCCGAGTGTGTCACGTCCCCTCCACACATGCCACCAAACTCCTACTGCTCCGAGCCATACTCCGTCCCTGTTCCCCAGCCTAGGGGCTGTACTGGGGCCTGACCCTTCGTGAACCCTCCTCAGTCCCGGTCAAGTGGACCTCCTCCCCTGCTCTCCACAGCCGTTGCCCTTGTCTAGGCCACCATCACCATCACCAACACCATCCTTGCCAGCCTGGAGTGCCCTCTCTCCATTCTGTGGGGCTAATGGGGGTGGCTGTGTGGGGAGCCTCTGGGGTCTACTGTTGGGGAGCTCTGCATGACTGAAGTTGGGGGTTCTCTGGGAACCTGTGGCCAAGGGTCTCTGGTCACAGTGCTGAGGTGGGGCTGGCTTTCCCACAGTGGAGTCCATTGATGATTACGTGAACGTTCCGGAGAGCGGGGAGAGCGCAGAAGCATCTCTAGGTGAGTGACCGGTGCTCCTCGGTGCCTGCCCCTGCACCCTGCCGCCCTACCATGCTCTCAATGTGACCAGACCCCACCCTGGGACTGCCCACACCCTCTGCCCCCTCTGTCTGGGCCACCCCCTGCTCTCTTGCCCTCCTGACCCCTTTGCATGGCTGCCCCTCCTTCTGATCTGTCTCCACAGATGGCAGCCGGGAGTATGTGAATGTGTCCCAGGAGCTGCATCCCGGAGCGGCTAAGACTGAGCCTGGTGTGTGCTGCGGGAGGCACAGGAGCTGGGGTAGCTGCCTTGGGCTTAGGGGGATAGCTTGCAAGCTGGAAACCAACCTCCCCTCCCCTGCAGCCGCCCTGAGTTCCCAGAAGGCGGAGGAAGTGGAGGAAGAGGGGGCTCCAGATTACGAGAATCTGCAGGAGCTGAACTGAGGGCCTGGGTGAGAGGCCTGCCCTGTCCCCACCCTGTCCTGGGCCCGCAGCCTCTATTCCCTCCCTCCAGGACCCCTGCCCAACCCTACCTCCGGCTTGTTCCTTTGTCTCTGGGTACCTGCAGATCCCCATCAGCCTCCTGATCCATATCCCTCCCTGCCCTGGTGTGTTTCAGTGGAGGCCGAGCCTGTCCTGGAACCAAGCTTGTCTGGGACGGCTGGAGCTGGACAGCTGGAAGTGGCTCTGGGGTCCTCACATGGCGTCCTGCCCTTGCTCCAGCCTGACAACAGCCTGAGAAATCCCCCCGTAACTTATTACCACTTTGCGGTTCGGCCTGTGTCCCCCAAACACTCTGCACCTTCTGACGCAGCCTGACAACAATGACCTGCCCTGGCCCCAGCCCTGCTCTGTGTAATAGAATAAAGGCCTGCGTGTGTCTGTGTTGAGCGTGCATCTGTGTGTGCCCGTGTGTGAGTCTGAATCAGAGATTTGGAGATGTCTGTGTGTGTGTCTGTGTCTGTGTGTGTGTGTCTGTGGGTCTCCATCCTTCATGGGGGCTCAGCCAGGTGCTGTGAGTGACAGCAGACAGTGGCTGGGACACTCCCCTTCTGAATGAGGCCTTCTGACTTGGGCTGGCACTGCTGAGGCTCAGGACACATCGCCCCATGAGACAGTCCCAGGACGCGGCAGCTGCTGGCTGTGACAATGGTTTCGCCATCCGTAGGCCAAGGGATGGGACTTGATGACCTGGGAGGACTCTTAGTTCTTACCTTTTGTGGTTCTCAATAAAACAGAACTTAAAAAATCGTCTAAGCAACTGAAAAAGTTAATATGCAGCACAGCACTTTTGAGACTTTGATGGGTAGGTGACTCACCGGCAGACTTTACTGTGGGGCGGGTTCTGACTCAGTTCGCCTAGGACGTGGCCTGAGACTTTGCATTTCTGAGCCGCTCCTGTGTGATTCTGATGCTGCTGGTCTGTGAACCTCATCTTGTGGAGCAAGGGCATGGTGAGCATCTATTGCCTTTACTTGACCGGGATCCATTTCCCCTATTTTGGGAATTTCACCCTGCCTTTCCTCCGCGATTCACTCCTTTCCCAGTCTCATTTCATGTAGTTTTAGAGATTGTGTGTTTTTTTTTTTTTTTTTTTGAAATGGAGTCTCCCTCTGTCACCCAGGCTGGAGTGCAGTGGCGGCGATCTTGGCTCACTGCAACCTCTACCTCCTGGGTTCAAGCAATTCTCTCGCCTCAGCCTCCTGAGTAGCTGGGATTACAGACCCCCACTACCACACCCGGCTAATTTTTGTATTTTTAGTAGAGATGGGTTTCAGCATGTTGGCTGGGCTGGTCTCAAACTCCTGACCTCAGGTGATCCCACCCACCTCGGCCTCCCAAAGTGCTGGGATTACAGGGGTGAGCCACCGCACCTGGCCTGTTTTTTCTTTTTTGGAAATGAGGTCTCACTCTGTCGCCTAGGCTGGAATGCGGTAATGCAATCATGCCTCACTGCAGCCTTGAACTCCTGGGCTCAAGTGACCCTCCCAGCTCAGCTTCTTGAGTAGCTGAGACTACAGACGCACACCCCCATGTCCGGCTAATGTTTTATTTTTTGTAGAGATGGGGGTCTCACTGTGTTGCCCAGGCTGGTCTTGAACTCCTGAGCTCAAGTGATCCTCCTGCCTTGGCCTCCCAAAGTGCTGGGATCACAGGCATGAGCCACTGTGCTCAGTGTCTCCCTGGGATTTAAGGTGAATGATCGCATCTGGCCTGGAGATTGTTGAACACATGACCTAGACCTGGGCCTAGGTCACCATCCTTTCCCTGACCATTGCGATTGGCTCAGGTATGGGCATGTGACCCGGCCTGGGCCAATGAGGAGCAGCCCTGGGATCCAGGCGGGAAGTGCTGGGCAGGAGAAGCTCCATCTCTCCCGGGCAGTGATTAAGCTGGATGGATGCAGGCCTGGAGCCACCACTTGGAGAGCCTACCTAGGAATGAAGCCAACGTGGAGGAGAGAGTGGCCCTGAGAGGGACAGAGCCAGCTTCCTAACAGTGTCATTAGAATTCCCGGAACTGGGCCCGGTGTGGTGGCTCCCGCCTGTAATCCCAGCATTTTGGGAGGCCGAGGCAGGTGGATTGCCTGAGGTCAGGAGCTCAAGACCAGCCTGGCCAACATGACGAAACCTCATCTCTACTAAAAATACAAAAATTAGCCAGGTGTGGTGGCGTGTGCCTGTAATCCCAGCTACTCAGGAGGCTGAGGAAGGAGAACTGCTTGAACCTGGGAGGTGGAGGTTGCAGTGAGCCGAGATCGTGCCACTGCACTCCAGCCTGGATGACAGAGCAAGACTGTCTCAAAAAAAAAAAAAAAAAAGACTCCTGAATCTGGACATACCTGAAGCACTGTGTGGGCCTATAATGGCAGTTTTTCTTCAACCAGCTTTACTTGGGGTATCTGTCACTACAGCCAAACTTGTTCTATGATGAAAAGTTGTTGGTGGTTCTCTATGGATTCCAAAGGTAATAACGGCGGCTCCATTCAAGGTCAGCCAGGTGCAGTGGCACATGCCTGTGACAGCAACTCCTCAGGGAGCGCCCATTGCATTGCCATGCTCATTACATGCAGTCGTCATAACCCCTCTATTGTCAGTTACAGTTTAGTGTCCCCATTATGCAGGAGAGGAAACACAGGCTCAGAGAGGTGAAGTGACTTGCCCAAGGGCACACAGCTGAAGAGGTACACCTGGGATTAGATCTGTGGCTGTGGGTCCCGTCGGGTCACTGCTGCTCTGACTGGCAGCCTCCTCGTTCTGATGATGATGATGATGATTTTCTTGAGACGGAGTTTTGCTCTTGTCGCCCAGGCTGGAGTGCAGTGGCGCAATCTCGGCTCACTGCAACCTCCGTCTCCTGGGTTGAAGCGATTCTCCTGCCTCAGCCTCCCAAGTAGCTGGGATTATTATTATCATTATTGTTTTGAGACAGAGTCTCATTCTGTGGCCCAGGCTGGGGTGCAGTGGCACAATCTCAGCTCACAGCAACCTCCGCCTCTCAGGCTCAAGTGATCCTTCCACCTAAGCCCAAGCAGTGGGGACTACAGGCATGCACCACCATGCCCACCTAATTGTATTTTCTGTAGAGGCGGAGTCTCACCGTGTTGCCCAGGCTGGTCTCGAACTCCTGAGCTCAAGCAGTCTGCTTGCCTTGGCCTCCAAAACTGCCGGCATTCCAGGCGTGGGCTGCTGTGCCTGACCAGAAACAATCTTCTTCTTCTTCTTCTTCTTCTTTTTTTTTGAGATGGAGTCTCGCTTTGTCGCCCAGGCTGGAGTGCAGTGCGCGATCTCAGCTCACTGCAACCTCCATCTCCTGGGTTCAAGTGATTCTCCTGCCTCAGCCTCCCAAGTAGCTGGGATTACAGGCGCCAGACACCCGCCACCACGCCCGGCTAATTTTTATATTTTTAGTAGAGACGGGGCTTCGCCACATTGGCCAGGCTGGTCTCAAACTCCTGACCTCAGGTGATCCACCTGCCTCAGCCTCCCAAAGTGCTGGGATTACAGGCATGAGCCGCTGCGCCCGGCCTTGTTCTGATTATTATATAAAGTGCTGACTGCCCTGAATGAGGAAGCTCAGAAAAGGCCCAGTTGGAGAAGATGGTGGGAGGGTCTGGGAAGGGGATTGGACAGTCTGGCCATCAACACGTGGAGTTAAATCCTTTTCTTTGGAAGAAATAGACCTGAGCAGAGGCACCTTTGTGCCTGGGCTGATAGACGAAGAACAATTGACCAACAAGGGCTATTAGTGTAACCAATCTGGCAACATCTGGTGAAGCTGAAGCCATGTGTCTCCATTTACCTAACAAATTCCTGGGTATAAACCTTCACCAACTCCAGGCTGGGCTCAGTGGTTCACGCCTGTAACCCCAGCACTTTGGGAGGCTGAGGTGGGCAGATCACTTGAGGTCAGGAGTTTGGCCAACATGGTGAAACCCTGACTCTACTAAAAATACAAAAATTAGCTGGGCTTGGTGGCAAGCGCCTGTAATCCCAGCTACTTGGGAGGCTGAGGCAAGAGAATCACTTGAACCCAGGAGGCGGAGGTTGCAGTGAGCCAAGAGTGCACCATTTTTCTCCAGCCTGGGCGACAAAGTGAGACTCTGTCTCAAGAAAAAAAATTCCTGGTTATAAACCTTTACCAACTCCAGCACATGGGCCAAAGTGGCAGGTACGAGCAGACTGTGGCAGGGCAGCATTGTAATGACTGCAGCTGGAGACAGCTTAGACACCCACTGCTTAAGAGCAGACAGAGAAGTCACAGTGTGGCCAGGCACGGTGGCTCACATCTGTAATCCCAGCACTTTGGGAGGCCAAGGTGGGTGGATCACCTGAGGTCAGGAGTTCAAGACCAGCCTGGCCAACATAGTGAAACCCAGTCTCTACTAAAAATACAAAAATTAGCTGGGTGTGGTGGCAGGAGCCTGTAGTCTGAGCTACTTGGAAGGCTGAGGCAGGAGAATTGCTTGAATCTGGGAGGTGGAGGTTAAGTGAGCCAAGACTGTGCCATTGCACTCCAGCCTGGGCGATAAGAGGGAAACTCCATCTCAAAAAAAAAAAAAAAAAAAAAAAAAAGAAGGAAGGAAGGAAGGAAAGAAAGAAAGAAATCGCAGTACAGTCAGATGACAGCTGCCCAGCAGCTGATAAAATGAGGGAACTGCAGGCCAGGCACAGTGACTCATGCCTGTAATCCCAGTACTTTGGGAGGCCGAGGCGGGCGGATCACCTGAGGTTAGGAGTTCGAGACCAGCCTGGTTAACACGGCGAAACCCCATCTCTACTAAAATTACAAAAATTAGCTGGACATGGTGGTGCACGCCTGTATTCCTAGCTACTTGGGTGACTGAGGGAGAAGAATCGCTAAACCCGGGAGGCGAAGGTTGCAGTGAGCTGAGATTGTGCCACTGCACTCCAGCCTGGGTGATAGAGACTTTGTCTCAAAAAAAAAAATTAAAAAAAAATGAAGGAACTGCAGCCAGGCCCATCACCACTGATGGATATCACCAACAGATTGTGGTGATATCACACATAGCAAACAAAACACACAAAGCAAGTCACGCATGTAAAGTTAAAAACATGTACATGAGGCAGGGCGTGGTGGCTCACGCCTGTAATCCCAGCACTTTGAGAGGCCAAGGTGAGAGGATCATTTGAGTCCAGAAGTTCAAGACCAGTCTGGGCAACATAGTGAAATCCTATATATATATAGGGTTGAACCCAGGAGGCGGAGGTTGCAGTAAGCCAAGATTGCACTACTGCACTCCAGCCTGGGCAACAGGGTGAGACTCTATCTCAAAAAAAAAAAAAAAAATTCCTGGTTATAAACCTCTACCAACTCCAGGACGTGGGCCAAAGTGGCAGGTACGAGCAGACTGTGGCAGTGCAGCATTGTAATGACTGCAGCTGGAGACAGCTAACACCCACCACTTAAGAGCAGACAGAGAAGTCGCAGTGTGGCCGGGCATGGTGGCTCATGTGTGTAATTCCAGCACTTTGGGAGGCTGAGGCGGGTTGTATGTATGTGTATATATACATATTGTATATTATATATATAACATATATACACACATATATACATATATATGCGTGTGTGTGTGTATGTGTATATATATACACAATCGTTTACATGATTACACCACTGCAGTGCAGCCTGGGCGACAGAGACCTGTCTCAAAAAAAACCAAAAAACAAAAAACCCTATGTACAAATGCTGTATATTGTTCAGAGATGTGCATCCATGTAAAAGTATCA